GGGGAGGGGGTCCCGGCGGGGCGCCGGGAGCTGCGGCTGCCGTCTGGTCAAGGCCCGGCAGGGCGTTGTCATGGGCAAAAGCGGTGCTGGGTCCAGCAGCCGCTGCTTGTGAGCGTTTCCAGGTCCTAGTAACAAGTATTACTTGCTAAGGGTAGGGTTTCCTCCTGTCGGTGTCGTGGCAGGTCACACCCGAAAGCAGGAGCTCTGTGGCCTTGTCCGTATATAGAAGATCAACCAAGAACAGAAGGAAAAAAGGAAAGTGGCACTCTCCCTGATTTAGACCTGAAGAGCAGAGACTTGGCAAGATTAAGTGCTTCTGCTATCGCAAAGAGCTTATGTTAAAGCGAGTATTAGTTGCAAACTGCAGTGTTACTTCCTCCAGGTGTCCCTAGCAGTTCTGCGTGTGTTGGGTTTTGTAGTGGTGTGTGGAAGAGAGGGAGCTAACCCAGTCAGTTTGCCTGCATGGTACTAAATTAAACTTTTAGTCTATCTGCAGCTGAGGCCTTCACCTCTGGAGGCATCCGTTGTCTGCCTGGGTGATATGAAGAGCTGAGATGTCAGCTTTAATAACTAACATAAAGAAACATTCGTGTAAAGGGAAGAGGATTTCGGTGCCGTCAAGCTCATTGTAAGAGATAACTTGTTGCATGCTTTTTCTGTATGAGCTTGTTCCTTTAGCGGTAGTTACTGGCTGGAAGAACGCATGCTTAGCTGAAAGTTTGGTATGGTAAATAGAAACGTGTTCAAATAGAATCTGCGTTCCAATATTTCAAATGCTATTGTCATCTGCTATCTTAGTGGTTTTTTTCTCTTTTCTCGGTAAGAGTCATAGTCACGGTGCTACAAAGTATGTCCCCCCTCAAGTGAGAAAAGCTCAGGAAGCACTGGATGACAAAAAAAGAGAAGAATTGGGAAGGCTGAAGAAAATGGTGAATGGTCTCATTAATAGGTAATGCAATAAGGACAAGTTGTTAATCGTCGGTTCTATGTGACAGTGCTCATCATTCAAGGAAAAGTGGCATGGATGTGACTTCTCTCTTTGGAAACTGATTTTAAGTTGGCAGTCATGTCTGCCATCCCTAATGATAATTATCTTTGGTAGAAATCCTTCAAAGTTGGTAGTTATAGAAGCTGAAAAGGTCAAAAATAAATTTAAGGTTGGGTTGATTTCCACACACCTGTTGCCTATCAGTGCTGGGTATAATTCTCTACGTGTCAGTAGAAATGTGCCCCTTGAATGTTAGATCCCTACTATGTACCAACAAAAACATGATTTTTTTTTTTGTATTAAATCGGATTAAAATTTTCCAGCTATGTCTCTAAGGAGGAGCAACACTACATAGCTTAAACTACTGAAGAACAGGAAAAAACAATTACATTTCGATATGTTTTAGCTTTAACGTGTTATTAACATATAAAATCTATCAGCCTTTTCTTTGGTCTGTGTTATAAGTTCTACAACCATAAAATGCTGTGCAGTTTGTTCATTCACTTAGAATTTGCCATACCTATACCTCATATGTTAGAAAAGCATGAAACATTTTCATGCTTACTTTCTCTAAAAAACATGATGTACCATAGTTAGAACTGCTAAGAATAGAGTCTATTTTTATAGGGCTACGCAGTTTAATAATAAGCCTCTTAACAGTGCTTTGCAAATACTGAAGCTGTTATGGTTTCACATGTCAATATTTTCTAAAGAAAACAATTAAATATTTGCTGCTGTTTTCAGGTTAGTGAACAAAAAAAAATACAAAAGTTCCCTTTCAGTCATCTTTTCACTGTTCTTAAGCTCAAATAGTTTTTCTAAAAAGCAAAGCGGATTGGATAAAAGTTGTGGGACTGTGTGGAGAGAACAGTAAGCTCTTTGGATTTTTTTTTTATTTTTCTGACTAGGTTGAGTGAACCAAATTTGTCCTCCATCAGTGGACAGCTGGAAGAGCTCTATATGGCCAACAGTAGAAAGGACATGAATGAAACTCTGACAGATATTCTTATGAATGCTTGTGTTACTGCAGTTGCAATGCCTGCAAGATTGATGATGGAGCATGTCCTTTTGGTCAGCGTTCTTCATCATACAGTAGGAATTGAGGTAATTCTTGTGGTTGGGACTGACTTTGTTTTATGATGCGTATTGTGCATTGTTTTCCTTGATATTTTGTTCAGATGGTCTTTTAATTTCTGCTTACGTGTCACTATATAGCATCACTAGTTGAGTTGTAGCTGTATTTGTAGCTTATCAGCTAGGTATTACCAAGTTGACGTAACAGACTTGATCCTTTTTTTTTTGATCCAACTAATTTTCTCCATGAATTACCACTTCTTCGTTGTTACAAAAGCATCGCTTCTTTCATTAAAATTATAAATACTTCTTTTTGTGTCCATTTATGGTGTTGAATTTCTTTAAGCTTCATGTTTTCTCATTCTTAATTACACTAATGCATTGCCGCTCTCTTGCATATATGAGACCATCATTCTTGAATTGTATGTATGCATATGAGGAAAGCTTTGCAGTTACAGAAACCCCTTTACGTCAGTAGAGATTCTTTAAAGCCCAATCATGTATATTGTCGTTATAAATGAATGCAGAACGTCACAAGTCTCAAGAAGTATGGCAAATCTAGGGGAGTTTTTTGCACTTTTAAGGCTGACAAATGACTGAGATTTCATTTACTAATAAGAAGTAAGTAGTAGTGTCGAAGGCAAGATTTTTAGCTAATTTCAATGCAACATCTCTCAAGAGATTGAGGTGTTTCAGCATGATGTTCCCATCAAGTTGTATTCTCATTCTACATTGAGAGAACCATGATTATAAGAGCCAATGCAAAAGATGCATCAATACAAGTTCTTCAGTTTGTATGTTGACCTGAAAGCACCGTATGTAATATCAAATGGATGCAATTGCAGCCTTGTCGTTAAACTAAATTTTTGTTTGCCTTTACTGCTTGAAATGCAATTCTGACTGCAAATATGAGAGGGTGTTATAACACTGTTTTAATAAGAGAAACCTGACCTTTTCAAGAGCTGAAGATGTGAGTTTCAAGTTGAAATTTAAAAATACCTAATAATAGCTGATATTCAGACCATCTTTGTACCACTGACTGTTATACAGCCTTTGAGTCTGCAGTATTTGAATACGTTATAAAGTCCAATTTATTTTTTTGGGTAAAGTAAACCTAGAATATGAACTGCGCAAAACTGCGATAATGTAACACAGCTACATTTAAAATTAGTTCAGGCAATGGAGAAGTTAGGGATCCAATAGCTCTGTTTCTGTGATTGTGCAATATCGCTGTTGGATAAAGCTTAAACCATTCAGGACTTGTAGTACAAGTCAGTGCTGCTGTGGGGACTTCAGCTTTATGTAAGATCAGTTAGCAAATGTTAGCACAACAATAACGGTTGTGTTTTTTCTTGTTTTTACCTTAGCAGTAATAAGTTGATTACCTATCTAAATCTATTTTGGTATACTTCTTCTTTCAGTCTTTAGCATCAGTTTTCTCTTCATAACTACAAAGATGGAGATTCCAATATTTTTTTCCAATTGTGTATCTGACGTTTGGCTAAGTCTTATTTCCACTCTAAAATCAGCCGAAATTATGGTCAGCAACTGGAAAAACTTGCTATGTTGGGGGTTGTTTTACGCTTTACTGATTTCTTTATTTAACAAGGAAAAGAAAATTTATGCTGAACTCTGATGCATTTGATTTTTGGATATGCAGCGGTTAATGGATGAATGACTAGCAGCAGTAACAGCATGGGGACCTGACACCTGGGGCGATGCTGCTGTGGGAGTGAAAATTGTGTATGCAAGTACATTCTGATAGATGTGTACCTTGATTTCATAACGTTTACTTTTTCTACCTAGATTTTAAAAGGCAATTGAATGGCACATGTGAGGTATAACATACACTTTTAGAAGATGTCACACATACAGCTTAGATACTATTTGTGAATTTAAATGCAGAGCATTCATATTGGTTAAGAGGAACAACAATCTTTCTTTAAAATTAACATTGGTGTTGCCCCCAAAATGAGTGTTTTTCAGAAGTTTCTAAAATCTACTAATGTTTAAATGCTTTTTTTTTTTTCTTAATGGAATTATCGATAGGTTGGTGCTCACTTCTTGGAAGCTGTGGTGAAGAAATTTGATGAACTGTATAAAAGTGATGCTGAAGGGAAAGAATGTGAAAATCTATTTGCCTTGGTTGCCCATTTGTATAACTTCCACGTAGTTCATTCCCTCCTAATCTTTGATATTCTGAAGAAGCTTGTTAGCACATTCACAGAAAAGGATATTGAGTTGATTTTGTTTCTTCTGAAAAGCGTGGGTTTTTCCTTAAGAAAAGATGATCCGTTGGCTTTGAAGGAACTGATCAGTGAAGCGCAGAGCAAAGCAAACACAGTAGAGAAGAAACTTCAGGACCAGACTAGGGTACGTGTGTGTTAAGATTTTCTATTCTGAATAGACTTCAGTTCTGAATAGACTTTAGTAAGTGCTTGGTTAAATATGTTAATTTAGGAACAAGTTTCTTGCTATACTCTAGTTAGATTCTAAGTTACTGTTAGTATCCAGTTATTGTGTTCAGTTACTTTGTTCTTTAAAAAAATGTTGGCTGAGGCCATGTATTTATTTACTTAGCCGATTAAGCCTTGAATTGAAACTTGAACACGAATGAAATAATGGAAATTAAAGGAAACATTGCTCTCTGAGATTTAGATCACTGGAGCACAACGTACGTTGCCAGCTGAGCTGCTTATTCTCACAAAATAGTGATGTCAAAGAACACTTTCCACTTTAAGTAAGCTTCTTCAGCATATAATCCACAGCAGCATTTCTCTTGCCAATAGGTTCGCTTTATGCTAGAGACTATGTTGGCCCTGAGGAATAACGATATGCGTAAGATTCCTGGTTATGATCCTGAACCAGTTGAAAAACTCCGCAAATTGCAAAGAACGTTGGTAAGATCTTTCTTGACGTGTGTAGTACAGCTGTTCTTAAGTCATATGTTCAGAAGTAACAAAAGTAATATATGGAGACTTGATGAGCTATGAATATCACTTTGGAATTCATTTAACACTCTAAAACTCCTTTGGGGAAAAAAAAAATCACTCTTTAGATTGTTCAGGTTGTTTGGGGTTCTTTCAAGGTGTCTCAAACAACCCGATATAAAATGCATGACAGTAATTTTCTGTTCCATTGCACTGAGAACTAATTCTTTGTAACTAGACTTGAATCTCATTCTAGACTCCATGTATTTGCAACCTGAAAATCGCGTTACGTATCAACGACATCTAGAGAATTTTAGTTTTCTGAGACTCGGTACAGGTTTGGCAGGCTGGTAATAATAGGTCAGACAATTTTTTTTTTTTTAACAACTCTTTTAGACTGTCTTGTTGTTACTACAAAACTTATTACAGTTTTATTATGTTATTTGATCAGAAGTTTTTTTAATAGGAAAATCAATTTTTGGTGTTAACATAAAATTTGAATTCGGTTGCTTTTTAATTGATGATCATTCTAAATTTCAGGAGTTTCTAAATATAGATTTAAGCAACTTTTTGCATTTGAGAAATTCGATTATGTGGAAGACTTGTACGTTCTTTTCAGTTTGTTGCCTAAAAGAAGAGGTTGTGAGAAGCAACATGTGAAGACCTTTATGGAGATTAAGTCATGCTGTTGCCCTGAAGTATGTTCCTGAACAAGTGCTTCAACTAAAAGCTTCTGAGTTTTTGACTTTTGTTATTCAAGGTTCACAACAGTGGTTCCGGAAAAGAAACTCAACTCCGTGTCTCCCTGGAATCTCTCCTCAATGCCGATAAGGTCGGTCGCTGGTGGATTGTAGGCTCGTCCTGGAGTGGAGCACCGATGATAGATGGTACCAACAGCAAGACTCAGCAAAAGTTGCGTATAGGAAAGGTAAATCCAAGCAGTGCTAGTTATTAGTCTTAGTGTTGTCAGTAGTATTTGAATATTCTTTGTACGAGTGGATGAGCTCGTTTCAGAGTCCACCACAAAAAAATCTTGATGGACTCTTGTAAGATTAAGCCTTTAGACTGCAAAAACCTACTCTTAAAAAACTGTGTGCACGTCCTTCCTGAGAGCTGTTATTACAAATACTGTAAGTTTGGTTCTAATCCTGTAGAACTGCAGAAGTAACTTCTTACATGAAGTGGAAGAGGAGACTTTAGAGCAGATTGGTAGCATGAAATCTCACAAGGCAGTGTTGTGAATGGGTGGCATATATCTAAGTGGATCCTAAATGTAGTGTGGTCACTTACCTTTAGAGAAGTACTTCTTAAAAATAATTGGCACAATTGAACTAGATCTCCCTAGTTGAAAGCCAGGTCCTGATGATGCATGCATATCTGCTGGATGAAGCCTGAAGTCCTGAGAGCTCAGGAGTTTTGGACTGATGCTTCACAGTTTGCTGGAAGTCTTCATCAATGGTCTTACTAGACGTTGCGCTGAATTTGCTTTCTTAAAGCAAGCGTAAATAAAATGGCATTAATTTTTTGTTTATTTGTTTTTCCAGGTAAGTTCAAAGATAATGGAGCTTGCCCGTAAGCAGAGAATGAACACTGATATCAGAAGAGGTATATTTTGTGTCTTGATGACAAGTGAAGATTTCCTGGATGCCTTTGAAAAGCTTCTAAAGTAAGTGCACAGTAGGACAGAGGAAAGCCCAGAGCTAAAAAGTGTTACTTGGGTTGGAAAATAAAATATTGCTGGTCTGGTGCAGAGGGAATTTTTGCAGCTGCACTTAAGAGCATATAACTGCTAATGCAATCAAAGGAGTGCGTAGCTTGGCATTCACGTGCGGCTAGAGTAAAAAGGTGAGGTGAGGTGGGGGAGCAAAATCCTGATGTGAGTAAGGACTGCTTAAGGAGCAAGAGGCATGTATGGCAGTCAGGAAAGGAGTAGCCCTTGTTATTGTTGCTCGTGTTTAGAACTGTGTCTTACAGCATCTCCTAACTTATGGAGCCTGTATGTTTTTGCAGTGGAGGTGGGGATCCCAGTTCAGCATATGCAACTTTATTGCAGGCTTACTACTTCATAGAGACAGTCCCTAAGCCCCTTTTGAACATGTCTTGGTTTTCTGGCTGGATTTCCTTACTGCTGCCACTTGCTTTACTCCTTGCCCCCTCTTGCTGCCATGGTAGGACATCTTGTAGACCTCTGTCCGTACTTGCCTCACCTGGTAATGTTTTAGCACCTCCACTTCCATCCTGCAGAATTTTTTAGCTTGGGATTTGCTCCAGAGTCGCATCTTATGTTAAGACTGGTTCCCCTGCCATTTGGCAAACAGCTCTTTAGAAGATGTGATGAGGGAAGAGCTCAAACTAAGCTATCCTTTGTGTTTGTCGGGATACCAGTGGTAAGTTTGTAGTAACTGAGAGCAGAGAGAGATTAGGTCTGGACTCTTCTGTTCCAGCTTTGTAATTCAAGGGAGTTATCCTACCAGGATGGCATGCAATTACTTAATTTGCTAACCAAACCAAAGCAGACTTTGTAATGAAGTCAACTAATATTTGATTAAATGCCACTTCTGCAAAACACAGCTTGGATTTAAGACTGTGATGGAGTCATTCCAGTATCTTAATATGGCCTTTTCAATTAAATTAGCTGCTGCTGCAGTTCTTGCCAAGGCATGGTAGTTCAATTTGCAAATTGATCCTTGACTCTTATCCTTGCTACTTAAACTAGTATACAAATCTGTATACACACAGGCTTGGCAGAAAAACTGTGTCTGCAGATTGCCTGGTGTGTGTTGGAACTGACTTTTACACAGCAAATGCACAGAGAGAGGAGTTCTCAAATCAGGCCACATCTGGCAGAGTAATGGAAAGTACGCAGGACTGTCAGTAAAGGAATTAAAATTGTAGTGTGGACGTGCTTTCCAAAGTGTATGGGAATTTATATTCATATGTTTGGTGTCAGTCTCTTGAGGAAGCGCATGAGAAATCAGTACATTTTAACTGTGCTTGTTGACTAATCTGCTGCTAGGTCTCTGGCAGAGTTGAGATGTGGTTCAGTAGCAATTCAAACCATTCTAAATCCAGGCTTCGGTAGTTTTGCCTGTCTTTCTCCTCCTTCCAGCAAATGAAAGCGATCAGTTTGTAGCCAGAACAGCTCCCTGAAGTGCCTCAACCTCTGATTGCAGAAGTGCCAATGTGAAGGGAGGGTTGGGAGTGTGTCTGGAGAGAGGGAGGCTTGATCCGTTTATGCAGCTGAAAGTCTGTATTTCCTTAACAAACCACAAATCCATATAGGGGAGGGAATGAATGCTTCTTAGGTTTGGTGGAGAGGGAATTTTTTAAGCTACTTCAGAGTTTCAGAGTTTGAGAAAGTTAGCGTTTCACAAAGAATTGAAACGGTTGTAGAAGTCATGGATATCCTGTTGTAGCATGTTGCATAATTCAGGATTGTGAGTATGTGATTAAACCTACTAAAATCACTTGAATAGACTTTAAAAGTGTCTGGAAATGTTGGTATTTTTGATCTTAGAAACCATTATCTCAGCCTTCCACTAGTGATAGCTAACCTACTTTAGAGGCATTTGTTCCATACTGGAGGGAAATCTTTTTTTTTTTTTTTTTAAAGTGGTCAAGACACAGAACTGTGGTCGTATTGCACCTTACAAATGACCTGATAGGTGAGGTGGCTGTAGCTTCTTTTTCCAAGATTATTAGGCTTAGCAAATCTTTACAGGTTTATGATGGCGCTAAGCATTGGAGGAGGAAAAAAAAAATCCCGACTCTTCAATTCCAGATGTTTAGGAATGTCGGGTTTGAAAAGAGAAAATACTGCTAGGTCTGTGAACTGAAAGTAAGAACAAAATTGAATATCAAAATATTAGTTTACTTGATTACAGCCATCTGACAACGTGAATATTTCCAAAATAAATACGGTGCGGCAGAAGTGATGAGGAACAAGGAAAAGTAGAATGTACCAAATTAGTGGCTGAGTTGTAATTTCACAAGTCATCTATTAAATGCATGTGAGATGGCTGAAAATCTATGTGGGGATTTTTTAGTGGGAGGGTCCCCCAAAAAACTTTAGTTGCTCTAGATAGAACTTGGCTGATGGTAGAGCAAAAGAATAATTGGATAGAACTTGGCTGATGGGAGAGCAAAAGAATAATAACAGTACAGGCCTGGCACTTACAGTGATGCTTTCTTTTTGAAGAACGAAGCTTGGAGTTGTTGCTGCTCACTAGCAATCGACCTAGAACATATCCCAGATTTTGATATTGTAAAACCTTAAATTCTTTTTTTTTTTTTTTTTGGCTGAATGACAATATTTTCTTTATAAATCTGGTCTGTATCTATGATCGAATGCAATGACAGATGTCTGGAGGGGTACACAACCAATGGAGATTAGACACAAGCTCTGACAATCTGTACTCTGCAATCTGTAGATGAAGTTCCAGTGGAGTATAATTTACTTAGAAAATACATTTGAGTTTACTAATGCCAGATGAAACTTGAGCTTGAAGCAATGAAAATAATTGTTTGACATTTTTCAGATTATAATATTAAGCATTTTTAATTTTAATTGGTTTTAATGCTGCCAAGCATTTGACGGCCCTGGAAGCTAAAGCATGTTATTCACAGAGCAGGTGCATTATGAGTTAGTTACCGTTTCTTGCCAAAGTATCTCAGTCCTCTTTAAGACCGGTCAGCTATTAAGTGTGAAGGCTACTCAGTCCTTGGCCTTTATGCTGAGACAGCCAGCAGAGGTGCTCATGGATACTGATTGTTTTCTTCAGGATTGTTTTTAAAGGTGGCTTGAAATCTCTAACTGCATCGTCTTAGGCTACTATCAAACAGTCATGAATTTCAAGTATTATCTAACGTGGAGTTGAATTGACATAGAGATGAAGAGAGTCATATCGCCAATTAAATAAAAAATAAAACCTGAAAATGTTTTTTAATCACTATTAAGTACCACAGAAGTGAAAAGTCCTGGGCATATGTTTTCTCCTAAGGGGCTTATAGTGATCCAAAGGCTGTTTTTCTTTCCCATGACCACAGGTACAAGTGTGAGGTAACCAAAATAGGATCCTACAGTTTTTGCCTCACTATTTATCCTCTATATTGGTTCACTATGTTGCAGTGCTTGCTGCAGTACTACTGCAACTTTCAAAGGCTAGAGACTTTCAAGTAGGGACTGATTCCGTGAAAGCAGGGCCCTCTTCTCTGTTTCCATTTGTGGAGAGGTACAAACATGCAGTGGGCTCCCACGGGGCTGATTATACTTGTACTGTTCCGCTCCTGTCCTTGCAGACTTGTTTTTGCAGCCAGTCCTTTAGCACTGATGCTACTGTAGCGTTGCCATACAGGGATGCTGGGTTAGTAATCTTAGTAGTTTGTTTCCGTTTGGTGTTTTAAGGGCTTTGTGACAGCTAGAATTGAATGCAGCCTTTTTTTTCCTGTTATTATTCTCATATGTTCATTGTAGCTCTTGCTTTGTGGCAGTTTTTTTTCCCTTACTAAACTATTTTTATTCTCTTACTGAATTTTAGGCTTGGACTGAAAGATCAGCAGGAGAGAGAAATTGTTCATGTTATCCTTTACTGTTGCTTACAGGAGAAGACGTATAACCCTTTCTATGCTTTTTTGGCTAGCAAGTTTTGTGCATATGAAAGACGATTCCAGGTGAAGAAAGATACGTGTATGCTTTGTTGTAGTGTCTTTATTGTGGTTAAAAACACAGTCATTACATACCTGAGGGCGGATAGTTACCTATTTAGATCTTGAGCCTGGCCAAAATTACAGTGGCATACCTGTGCCTTCAGTAAAGCATGCTCATGGTCAGACCTAAGTAGGAAACAAGATAACTTCTGCAACAGGTTTGCTTCTTTCTGTTTTGCACACTTTAAAATAATTGAACTGTCTTACTGAACATCTCTTAATCAGGAGGGTGTTTGTAAAGAATAGAAGGCAAAAAGATTTTGTTGTGTCATTACTTGTTTAAACAGTTGCTTGATTTGTAGTGTTTCCTGTTTTAACACCTAGATGACATTTCAGTTTAGTATTTGGGACAAAATACGAGACTTGGGAAATCAGACAACCACCGCTATCTCCAACTTGGTTTCACTATTAGCTCACTTGCTAAGGACAAAATCGTTACCACTTTCAATTCTCAAGGTTGGTGTATTTCTTTGCAAAACGTTTCTGTGCTCTACTTGCATTTGCTAATTATGTGGAAAATATATATTCTCCATTATCTAGCTAGTAATTTAGCTGTTTATGCTCATAGGCTAAGATGAAAGCTGTCCTAAAATTGCCAACTTCATAAATGTTTTAATGTTCCCATTGATCACAATAATGTTCCCTAGTAATCTACAGAAAAAGGGGGGCTGGGGTGACCCAAGCATATAGAAATCCTGGAGAACATGGTGCAGAAGCATCCTTTTATAAAAATATCAGGAGATAACTTGAGTCTAGTGAGGCCTCAGTAGCTCTGACTTGCCACCGTCTGTGCTAGTTCCCAGGTGGCTCCTGCCCAAAAACTGGGGGGGGGGTGTTCCCTAATTTGGGAAGGATAGTTTTGCTGTATTAATAAACCCAGAGAACCAGCTTGGGCTAGGAGTTGCTCCCAAACCAGTAAAACACCTTAGAGCAGTGCAAAAGATGGTACAGAGCTACAAGCGGTTCTGTTGGTGCTGATGCGGGACTTGGATTTGACCATGGCTGTTGCTGAAGGCCGTGTTAATGAAACCCTAATGCTAGACCTACAGGGGTTTTAATGGTTTGACTACCCTGTATCATTCCATATGTAGAGCAGTTACAAGAGTGTTGGTTTTGTGCTTTTTACAGCATCTAGATTTGGAACTAAGACCCCTACATTAGCAAGCTTTGTCAGTGGATTTTACGCCACACTCTTTAGCCTATGTTGATCTTATAGAACAGGCAGAAATCTGCTGAGCGCTTGATTTCGGAATGAGCAGTGTGTAGAATTTATTTCAAAAGAGTAACTGAAACGTATTAAGCAGGCAACGTTCTACATCGTCCTCAATAATTTTGAAGTATATATCTCTCTGGAAAAATATATCCTGGTATTCTGGTACTAGTGGACAGGTTATTCTTTAGAAATGTCATTGCTTCCTTATTGTTTGGCTTTAGGGGGCAATGTTCTCACCTTACTGTTCTGTGCTGAACTTCAGACTCAGTATATATGGGAGGCCAGTCCATGTGCTAGAAGCTGCTTCTTGTAAAGAGTGTTAGGCTGTTTGAAATACTTGAATTGTTAATCTAATTCTCTCTCTGTTAACTAGGTAATTGAATTCAGCGAGCTAGATAAACCCAATGTTCGTTTCTTGCGACAAGTATTAAGCATGCTGTTAATCAAAACAGATGCTGAAGATCTTAGTGACATTTTTGGGAGGTAAGTGATCAGAGAGATCCCCGGGAACCCTTGGTGGATAGTGATTAAACAGATAAGAGGTTTGCCTGTTTTATTGGGAGTACACAATACCTTTTCCAAATACCAACCATTCATCCCTTAAAAGGCAAGGGGTGGGGGGGAGGTGTATAATTTGTACTTATACCAGACCCTGTACTAACACAACTGTGTAGAATTTTACACAAAATACACTATGTGCAAGCCTTATTTATCATGTCGGTCACTGGACTCTCATGAGCAGAGCTCTGTACTTAGCTGCTTTCCTTGTTGCTTTATCGTCTGTGTGCAGTGAGGTTCAGTCTCACAGCAGTCTTTGGCTCACAAATTTATTTAGTGTAGGGAGGGGGAAATAAAGAAATGCTAATGAGGGAAAGATTAATTTTCTTTGAAAATAACATTGTCCGGATATGTTTTTTATATGTGGGAAGGGGTCCTTTGTTAAATCCTTCTCCAAAGTGATCAAAGAAATAACAGCTCTGCTGAGGAGGCTAAAATGTAGTTCCAACTCTTCCGTTTGTGGCTTGTAGTGAGTTTAAAAAAAAAAAAATCGATAAATATCCTCAAGTTCTGTGAAGTTTCCTACAGTTCTCTGAACTCATCCCTAGTGCAGTTCGGAACGATATGGGTCACAAGAAAGCCAGTGTTCTCACAGGTACTCCGTTTGTTGTGGAAGCAGCCAGCCTTAATCTGTAACTTAATCCAGGAAGAAAGTTGTGGTGGTGTTTGGGGAGGGAGGACGGTTATTTTTTTTGTTTTTAAGGTGGCTGACCTTTTGTCATTTGTATAAACATTTAGTGTGAGAGCTATAACAGTGGCCTCTGCTCTTTGGAAATAGTTCAACCAGAATAAAACAACTTTTTACTAGTCATCAGGGATTAACTCCAACTGGGTGGAGTAGTTGATGATAAACTGGAGGACACAGCTACTATTCAGTGGCTCCTTGACAAGCTGGAGGTACAAGGCAACAGGAATGGCAAGGTGAAGCAAAGATGAAAGCAAGTCCTGCACCTGGGACAGAGTAACCTCCTACAGCAGTCCAGGCTGGGGACTGATTAGCTGGGAACAAGGCTGCAGAAAAGCATCTGGAGGCCCTGAAGGACAAGAAGTTGAGCACAAGGCAGCAGCGTGCCCTTGCAGTAATGAAGACCAATTGCATACTGGGCTGCATTAGCAAAAGCATTGTTCACCTCTGCTTGGCACTTAATGAGTCTGCACCCCAAATACTGTGTCTGGTGTCAGGCTCTCCCAGCGCTAGAGAGTCTGACAAACTAGGGGGAGTCTGGAAAAGGGTAGCCGAAATGGTTGGGGAGGCTGGAGCACCTAACATACAAGGTGAGGCTGAGGAAACCCAGGGCTTCAGCCTGGAGAGGAGAAGGCTGATGGACAGACTTCACCTTACCTAAAGGAGGGTTATAAAGAAAGTGGAACCAGACTCTTCTCAGAAGCGTGCAGGGAAAAGCGACAGTGATCACAAAGTGCTGCAGGGAAGTGCTGATTGGGCATAAAGGAGAAGGTGCTCGTAGTGGGAGTGGTCACGGAGAGGAGTGGGTTACCCAGACGGGCTGGGGGAATCTCCATCCTTGGAGATGTGTAGGACTTGAGTGGGTAAAGCTGTGAGCAGCCTGACCACACCTGAAGATTAGCCCCGCTTTAATAGGAGGTTGGACAAGGTGACCTGCAGAGGTTTGTTCTGACAAACTATCCTGTGATTCTGTTGTATTAAACTTGCAGTGTCATGTAAATTTAGAAAAGTTAAGTGATGATGTTTCAACCGTTAGGCTGAAACACAAAAAAGTTCAAACAGGGTGTTTGCCTCACAAAAATTTGGCTGTAGTGTAGTTGTTTACATAAAGCAATTCAAATACTGTAATATTCCGTTTTATTGTTGAGGACCAATTGCATGTAGAGTGTGTCGGGCTGTTTCCCAAACCAGCGTAGACTCACTGTTAATTTGAAAGCCTCTTCAGAAAAGCTCCTTTTACAGCTTGTTTTTTTTTGGTGTTCCCCCCTTCCCCCCAGCTGTATTTGAAGAAGAATAACTTTAAAAACTTGGCTTGGTAATAGACTAATGCTGTTTTTCATCTGTATCATTACAGGATATCTGAGAACCCCAAATTGGGAATGCTACGGGAAGGTTTGAAGCTTTTCCTTACCCACTTCTTACTGAAAAATGTACAAGCCCACAAAAGTGGTGAAGAAGCTAGCTTGTTAAAAGAAAGAGCTGAACTGGCAAGCAAAGCTTTGCAAGCAAAAGAATCCAGACCGAAACTGTAATTCTGTTTTTCCAATAAAACATGTATGGGAAAAACTAGGTCTGCATGAAGATACGAAGCTTTACATTAGCCTTTCAAACCCAAATAATTGAAAGTGAAGGGAACAGTATTGCTGCTAAGGATCCAGTGTTTTTTACGTAAACGGATAATTTGCTCTATATGCTGGTTACAAGTTTGAAGGTGATACGGGGCCTTTCTGAAGAAAGGGGAAAATGCTTTTTTGTAGTGTCCCTTTTTTAGTATATATAGTTCATGTTGGTTGCTAACACCTAGAGAAGAGGCTGAATTTCTCTTTGATTGAACTCCCAGTCAGCAGTAGTGTTCAGCATTGGCTATTCTAACCTTTCTTTTAAAATAGTTGTTGTTTTAACGTGTAGTGGTCAGTATTCTACAGTTTTAACCAAAGCTTTAGTAACTGATCATTGTACTTTGAAAAAACAGGCCACTAGGTGGCATAACCACTGGTGAGTCAGTTTGGAAGAAATCAACTTTTTTTTAAAAAAGTGTTGAACGTATCAGCTAATTCTGTGAATTATTTACGTGACTGTGGGTCAGGAAGAGATCTTCAGTTGGGTTCAAAGTTAATGTAAAAAGACCTGAGGATCTGACTTTGCCCAATTATACTGGGTTTAAAGATCACAGCGTTGCCTTTTGCTGTTTTAGCCAGCTTTTCTCAGCTTTAAAATTGGAGTTGTCAGTCAATGTTTGTGATAATCAGATTTTACTAGACATAAAGAATATCAGTATCAATCTCGTAATAAGAAAATACCTCCTCTTGCTTTCACCTTGCACTCAGATGTTTAAAAAAAGTGCATTTATTTGTATAACAATACTGAACGGTCTGTTTTGTTGTCTTACAACTACATATTAAACTGCAGTTTTCTGAGAGGGTTGCTGTTTGTGTTATCTTTATTCTAGTGGTTAGTTAGGAAGGGAGTGACTTTAAAAGGCAGGGAAAATATATAGTTTCCAGTTTGCGATATGTCCTGCATCTACATAATCTGTCTGCACTAGAGCTGCTAGCCCTCTTTCTGTAAGCAGTTTTGTCCTCTGTTCAAGGGTGCAGTCACTTCTGGTGCCTCCCAGCTGCATCTGATACCAACTGGTCTGTTCTGCTCCTTTAAATTTGTCCATGTTAGGAGAATTTGCTTCCAGTAGGCATCTACCAGAGATGTTTCAGTCTTGCAGCAAAACAGCTGGTCAAGATTGAATCAGAGAGATGAACTGGGAATACTTTTGCTTGCTCAGTTGAACAAGTAGCCTTTTTAGGAAGAGAAGAGCTCCCCCAACAGCCAGGGAGCTGTTTTTTCTGGCCTTTCCTCCTGTGGGGAGGGCAAGTTGCAGGAACGAAGTATCCTGCTCTCGGAGAGACCCACTTTCAAAATCCAAGGTTACGCTGGCATGGTAACCACTAACCTAGAAGAGATTACTGACGAAAGAACAGAGCAAGATGCTTTCTTCAGCCGATTTCTGACCATTGGCACTTTTTAGGTGTACAACAAAGTGGCTGTTTCCCCTCAGTTAGATCTCATACGCAACAGATGAGGAAACAATTCAGTAAAAATATTTATTTAAAAATCTACCAATTAGTAAAGCTGTATGGGCAGCAGAAGCAGTGACGCTGTATTTGGACTGGACTATATGCTACATCAACCACAACTTTGAGGCATGCATGTGAATAGCTCCTTCACAAACAACTGGGCCAAACCTCATATTTTAATTTTTTGAAGCTGAACACAAGAGAAGAAAATCTGCCAGTCCCTAGAGATTCTGGCTGCAGTGGAACGCATGAGACCTGGGTAAGGAAAAATCACTCCTGCTAGACCGCAGCAATCACCTAATTACATCTTTTTGCAGGGATTGAAGGAGACCCAACACCTCAACATGTTTGTGGTTTAATAACAGATAAACGGAAACACATTGCTCCAGCTGGAAGGTGGAGGTAAGTTTGCTCTTAAGGACAAAGCTTAAACCATCTTCCTTGAAATGGGACAAGCTGTCGGTTCCTTGCTCAATTGCTTTGCTTGGTGATCGGAACTGAACACCCTTTGCTGCCCTTGGAAATATTGCCTAGTGTTTTATCGGTCTGAATCTGTTCACTTGCAGCTGCCTGAGGCAGCGTGATGCAGGTGTTGCTATGCAATTGGAGGAGATGGTTTCAACCTCAAAAATTACAATTTTTTTTAACTAAAAGTTTCATTAATTCCCAACAACTGGTGCATTTTGTTTTAATTTAGTCACTACCTTCAGCCACTACTTTGTTTCTGGGAAAAACGGGTTTTCACCTTCCTGCAGGTTTTAGATTGGCCACATTTATGGGTAAGCAAATTTGTTGAAAACTTTTTTTTTTTCTTTTTCCTTCAGGGAAAGCAACCTAAAAATACTGCCAGGGCACAATGCAGGAGTCGCAGTCCAAGGGCAGTTGCTTTGGGTGCCACATACTGGCACTGTGGTTCAGTGAGGGGAAAAACCTGTCAAAAAGATATTTGACGATTCTTGGATGAACAGGAGTTTCTGCGTCTTGGATGTAACCATGTTTGACAATTTTTTGTGTGGTCCTACTAGCTGAACTGCCTCAGCTTGTCTAGCTGAGCTGCCTCGGCTTGTCAGAGCTTGAAGCCTTGGTGGCGTCTCAGCCAAAGTCCGTACGTAGCCCTCTGCCATCCACAAGCTGCCAGTCCTGTGGCCTGGTTATATCTCAAGGTTATAAAGCACATATGGAAAGAAAAGCTGAGATAACATTACTTTTTTTTTCCCCCCCCCTCCTCCAGTGAAAAAAACTTCTCACCGGCAAAACTAACAGTACCGAAGCATCTCCTCTTTATAGCAAGGCTGTTGGTGCTGTACGGCCTCCCTGTAACAGCAGCAAGTACAAACGGTGCAAAACTGCACACTGAGCACCAGCAGCCAGCAGAGGCTGCTGGAGGGGTTACAAAAGGCTTTGGCACATTTTACTGTGCGCCACAAAACAAACGTTCGCTAATGTAGATGCACGCGGCACAGCGTTTAGAGATTTCTTCCTGTTGAACGTTAGTCTGTTAGCCAACGTCAGACCTCCGGAGGAAAGGTTCCCGCGCAGCGTTTAGAGATTTCTTCCTGTTGAACGTTAGTCTGTTAGCCAGCGTCAGACCTCCGGAGGAAAGGTTCCCTGTCCAGTCTAGTGAGAAAAATGCTACATAAAATGTCCATGATCCTTTCATAAAGTGTGTGGGTGAGGTGTTTAGTTCTTTGTGAGCCAAAAATGGCTTTGAATTGGTAAAAATAAACTGCACTGGAAGGCCAAGCAGTTGTAGTTAAAACATGCATTTTTGTCTGATAAACTAGTGGAAAATACAGTGAATTTAGATTCATTTTTAGCATAATCTTGCAATCCCCCTTTAAACAAAGTAGTATTATCCACTTGTGGCTATTATTGCCATTTCAATTTTTGTTTTCTTTTAAGCTGGACAATAATATTTTAGACTTTCTCTGGTTTTTGTATCAAAAATTAACACAGCGGTGAAGTCTGGTTTTCAGCTTTGGCCCGAGTGTTACACTGATAAATCACACGCGAGCCCTTTTGGCAGGGCTTTAACGCTGCACCTGAACGGCCCCAGTTTCTGCAGGGCGTTTTAACACTAGCGTTTCCCATTGTGCTGCCCGCCGGGGCTGCTGAGTCGCTCCGCAAGCGCCCGCGCCGGCCGCTCTGCCCTGCCTCCCCTTCGCCAAGGGGCGCACCTCGGCCCCGGCCTCAGCGCGCGTCCGGCATCGCTCGGTCCGCGTTGTTCTGCGCGTGAACTTTGTGGTCTAAGAGCTAGAGGCGGGGAGCTGCGCGGTGCCAAATGCGCACGACAGCGCTTTCAGCTTGATAAATATGTTGGGTGTCAGCTCTGATACTCAGACTTTGATTGCGTGCCGTCTCATGGCGGCTCAGCACCTGGCGAAGCCCCTCGTGCCTCGGTACGTGATCTTCTGCTGCGGGAGCCGGTCTTAAGCCCTTGTTTCGATGAGACAATTTGATCTGCAGGGTCAGTTTTCCAAAGGTGTAGTTTTATCTAGTTTGCATTGGTCTGATTTCAGGAAATTGTAGATAGAGGTATGACTCTTTTACCATCTGCCGCTTCTCATGATTTCATCTCCTGGAGGAACTTTCCTTCACTCGCCAGTAAAGCTTAGTTTACCAGGAGGCCTGCAGGCAGTACAAATCATAGCTGCTCCTGTAAAACAGCTGGGCTATCGTCAAATTCTGGGGCAGTCTGCATTCCTCCTTTAAAAGTAAGTGAATTACAGTAGCCCTGCACGAATGTAGCTGCGGGCACAAGGCAGAGTCGGATGTCACGTGGTTCCCCTACTAACACTTTAAGGAAATGAAATAAACATCTACCACCAGTCAGTTTAGAAAGAGCCAGCTGGCACCGAATGTTTCTTAAAAACTTGTGTCGTCGGACAAAACGCTTACTTCACACACATGAAAAACAGCTCACTTCGCGGCAACGGAGGACTTTAAAGCAAAATTCCAAATGGCTGAGAAACGTGATGCAGCTGGCATGGGGGGTACACGGTCAAATTAGAAATAGAGCCCTTTTTTTGAATAGTGTCTTTAAAATCTGTTGTCAGCTAGAAGAAAGTGGTTGTTTCATTTTTCAGACATGAAAGACTTCCACGCCTGGCATGTTTTTCATTTAAAAATCCATTATGGACCTTTTACCAGGAAGACGGTAACAGCATCTTCAAACCTCTCTTGGGGGTGCGGGCACATGCAGCCCCCAGCATGAAATAGTAGGGAATAGCGTTATGCGAACGACGCTGCGGGAACAGCCTTCGGTTACCGTCAGGGGATGGAGCAATGCGTTTTTCTAGTATAGAGACAGTAAGTCAGGATGTGCCTCAGTGTCACCCTACGGGGGAAAAAAAGTCATCTTGATCTCATTCTCTAGGCTTGCATCTTCACAAAATCGTCTCTCCGCCTTGGCCAAAGCCGCAGAGTCTGGATGGATTTTTTTCCCCTTACTCTGTAGTTCAGTTCACCCTTAAAAAGTTGGCCGGACGATGTTTGATTTTCAAATTTTCCGAACTAAATGGTTTGTTCAGATGAAGATGAAACGAAGCCTGTTGGTCTCCTGAAGCTTTTTGGCATGCCAAGGATTATGCAGGTATTGTGCAGCACAGATCAGGAAGCAGGATATAAAGGCATAAAAAGCGACTGGAAATCTTAAATGCTGCCTTCAATGACAAAAGCTGCTCCCTCGCGGCCTGCCTGGAAAAGCTGGAGTCTCAGTGCCGCTTTCTCGTGCACCCAAGGACAGTATCGAGGCTTGAAAGCGGCTGCTGGATTCGAATCCATTCCGTTTTCTTGCCTGTGGCTTGAAAGCAACACGAGAACCAGCTCTCGAGACACCCAACCCACCAGGGTTTACCCGACTGCCCTTCTTTTCTGAAAAGTTACACCAGGTTTGTGAGTTTAAAGTAGCCGTGAGACAGTTGAAGGCTGAAGAAGCAAGTCTTTATTCCTGGCCTGATTTTGCCCGCCTCGTGGACGCCGAGTAATGCCTTCCCCGCAATAGCCACCTCCAGGAGAAGCCAGGGCTACCCAACGGCTGGCGGAGGGCTGGCCGAGGCGCGGGATGAACAGCTTGCGCAAAAGAGCGGGTTAAGGTTTTTCGACGTTATCTCATACCCATTTGCTGCTGAAACCGACCCTCAAATGTAAGCTTTAGGTGTGTTTATCAGTCCTAAAGATGAAGTTCTGGAAGAAAAAAGGAGTGGGGAGAGTCCCTGAGTAGGGTGACAGCAGCAGCAGGAGCCGGGAAGGGAGAAGGAGGCAGCAGAGACAGCAAGAGCCGCTGGCTGAAACGGTTGGATCGCCGCCTTAATTCTCCCTGGCAAAAGCACAGTGATTAACAGCAA